AAGGCTGCAAGTCCTACCACACTAGCTACCTTAGACATTTTCGCTACTTTGGGCGATGAAGCTACCACACCAAGCGCAGCAATTGTACTAACAACGGCCCCAACTACCTGTGGTGAAATCCTACTTTCTACGCTACATTCAGCCTCCAAATTGGCCATCCCCACGAAGCTCTATAGAACTTCCACGAAGCCACTGCAGTAACCGCCTTGGTCAGCAGGTCAGAAGCGTGGCGTCCCTTCCAAAGCCCCCACTGCATCTTCTCTGGAAGGGCAAAACTGCGCAAACGCAAGTGACGGGTTCTCCATGGTCCATCAGGGCTCTCAAGAAGTCGAAGACCGGATTGCCTGATAGATCAAAATACAGTAGACTAAAAATACCACCCGAGTAATTTACTCCCGGGGGAGTAAATTACTACCCCAAAATTTACGTAAATCAACGCTCAACTTCCGGGAGTAAATTTAGGCAAAGCAATGCAAAGTGCATTGCGCCCAATGTAGTTTGCATTGCTCATTTTTTTGGCCAATGCAAAACTGCATTATGGGCAATGTAGTTTGCATCGGGCATTTCTCTTTACAACAAAAAACATCCAAACCACATGCATTTTTTGCAATGTTTTCATTATGGGTTTTCTGTGGCTTCAAAACGTTTTTGATCATATCAGGGAGTTTGCTTGCAATGTGTCATTGCTATTGGTTCTTGCGTTTCATGTGCATGAAGGTTGATTGCAACATGTTTTTTTAAAATCATGGTTCTTGCGTTCACAGATATCACGAAGTTCTTGAATATGACCAGTAGTTCTTGAAATATTTTTTGTGGATGCATGGTTCTTGGCAGCCACAATTAGTTTGAATTGGAGTTCTTAAATGGAAGCACTACCGCGCTGTTCACTGCTGAGATGCGTGTTTCACCCAGCCGTGGCACATCCCAATCCTCTTGTGTCTTGAGTTGCATAGCAGGCACAGTATCATCCAAGATCAAATCAGCAATGACCATATAGTGTCACATAAGGAACTGGTTTGATTCATTGTATAATCGCCAAACTGCAGCGAACAGTTCAGAAACAAAGTCAAGTGCATTCGGTCTCAGACGTGTGGGACATCTTGGATCGGTCAGGCTGAAATTAATTGGATCACTCCAACGCAAGTTGCACAGCTTCAATCAATCAATTTGTGACTTCGATGTATTGATTTTCTAGAGATTTCCAACAGTTTGGAATGCAAAGCGCATTGAAACCAATGCAGTTTGCATTGTTGAGTAATGCACTTTGCATTATACACAATGTAAATTACATTGTTTCATAATGCAAACTACATTGCTTATAATGCAAAGTGCATTAAAACCAATGCAGTTTGCATTGTTTTTGATGCAAGCTGCATAAAAACGATGCAAACTGCATTATAAACGATGCAAACTGCATTATGAACAATGCAAACTGCATTATAACCAATGTACTTCGCAATGTAGTTTGCATTGGTTTCAATGTAGTTTGCATTGGTCTTCTTTGTAAATTCGTAAGATTCTTACAAAATTGAAACAGTGCAAATCACAAATTCGTTCAACAAATGTCATGTGTGTTGGACGTTTCGACTTGTGCGACCCAGCATCACAGCTGGATTCCATTTTTCAGCGACAGATGATGAGGTGGTCCGCGTGTCAAAAACACATGGAGATGCATCTGCCAAGATCCCAAGAACCAATGCTGATAATATGCATATATATATATCTATCAATAAGTCATTATGGTTGTTTTATTCTTTGAATATTGTGGCAGGTATGCAACCTTCATAGACAAGTGTCACAGCAGTGATGTATATGTGCATAGTTTCCAAAAACCCATGCAGTGCTCGGAGGCGCACATATTCCAAAGACATTTGCACATAGAAAAGAATCATGATTGAACATGTAATTGAAATTGCAAGAATTGCCTTCATCAATAAGGTCCAACGGCATGCAACGCAAGAACATATTCACATACACGTGCCGAAAACACAGAGGCGCATTTCAACAGCTGCCAGCTAGCCACATAGCTCTTCGTTAGCTTTTAATCAAATCAACTGGCATGTTCTTCGTACAGGATGTATGACGCAGTATGGTATTGCTCTTGCCTTCGACTAGCAAGAAATTAAAGAAATTATAGTCTTGAAAAGCTCTGTCCAGAAAGCGTTGCCTGCAAAAAGCAAGACAAAAAGACAAGTTTTAATGCTTGAAACTAAGCAGTTTCAGCCATGAATATATTGCCCCAGAAAAGTACAAAAAGGAGTAAATATCGATTTAGTCCGGAGATTAAATTTAGTCCAGGGACTAAATTTAGTCTTTCAATTTACTCCTAAAAGGTGTAAATTTACTCCAGCGACTAAAGTCTAAAGTCTTTATTTTGGACTAAATTAGTCTTACGACTATTTTTAGACTATTTTGATCTTACAGGTGGTTGTCCCCATAGAGCACCTTGTCGCCCTTCTCGGACAAATGGTTCCCCTCAAGGATGTCAATCACTGTAGCCCAAAAGCTCGGACTCTGACGTTGAAAGTGTCCCAAACGCCTGCTGCTTCGATTCCCATTGAATGGGACAACACGCATACATCGCAATCAACCCTTGGCGTCCACGGCCTCCAGCAGGACCAAAAGATGCGTCTGAGCGCACCTCCAACCTCAGCATAGATCTAGGGAAGGCCAACTCTGAATCTTCCCCATGATCACAATCGCAACCACCATAGTGAAGCGCCATGTCGAAGGTGGACTTGAGGTAGCCCAACATGTGTTCGCCGTACTTGCGAACTCGGCGAGGTGCTCGGGTCACCATACGTTCCATCTATGCGACTCCAAAACTCAAATCAGGGCGCGTACGGCACGACAGCCACAGAAGTTCGCCCACAACACCTTGAGCAGCACGGACATCGTCGATTTTCACATCAACTTCAGGCTCTTCGTCCAAAGCTCCAGGAAAATGAGGGCTTTTGCAAACCACTCCAGAATGTTGAGACAGAAGGTCTTGTGCATAAGAGCGTTGACCCAGCAGGATCTGATCACCCTTCTTCGACAACTCACAAAGCCACGAAATTTGACCCATGAACATTCCGTCACAAATTCCGGAGCTGAGCACTTCCACTCCGCCCGGATGCGGTCCAAAAGGGTTGTGACCACATCGTGTTCTCCCACAACTGCCATGTCATCCACATAGAGCGCCAAAAAACCTAGCGCCTCCTTGTCATCGCAGCCACCAAGTGTCAAAATCTTCCACAAATTTGGCTCCGGTGTCGCCAACAGTTGTTAAGCGGTGTCCATTTCAATCCCACTGGATAGTCTTCAGGACATTGTTCCTATAGCTGGTCCAATTGGAAGGGCTTGATGTCAAACCAGGCATTCTCCACCTCCCACCATTCATCAGGACCCACGATGCCAGCCTCTTGAAGAATTTTCGGAGGACGCATGAGCTTGGACTCTGCCTCCCGTCGAGGGGCCAGTAGAAAAGCTGTCTTCACGTCCACCGTCGCACAATGCCATTTTTTGGCCCCAGTCTTCCTCAGCATCGCCCTCAGCAAGACTCCATCCGCTCCACCAGCATAGTTTGCAAAAAGAGAATCGCCTGGACCACCATGAAAACCTTCGGTAACTTGTTGGCTGTCCGTTTTCTTTGCCCCAATGCGATTACCGCAGATGACAATCCGTGCCCGTTGTTTCCCATGTGGAGCTTTGACCGTAGGAACCGACATAGCAGGGACCACTTCCATCTGGGGAAAACAAGGGTCACGGCGGAGTTCTTTTTCTGTCGTCACCTTCAAGGCTCCAGGGGTCTCCGTCAAGGACCGATACTCATCCAAAAGTGGCTGCTTCCACAACGCGAGCTCCTTTCGAACTTGCTGTAGAGGCACCGTATAAGTTTGTAAAACAGTGCAAGGAGGTTCTTGTTGGCTATCCATAGAAGTTTGAACCAACGAAGCAAGACGATGCCTTTCCAGCACCCGATGCTGCTCCTCCAGGTCCTCCTCCTTCATCAGCAACTCCTCCATGATCATCTCCAAGTGTTGGCCTTGTTCGCGGCCTTCCTCTTCTCCTATTGCAACTTCTCGGTGCTCTTCCATCCACATAGATTTCAGTGCCCTATGCTCCTCCAACTCCATCTCGTGAAACCTTTCCACATCGGTCCATGAGAACCTCGGCAATGGTTCTGTGTGCTCCCCCGGAATCACATTCTCCTGGGAATCCAACAGATCCAATCTTTCTCCACAAAAACCGCATTGGTCACCATGTTCATGAGAGACTCCAACATCTGAACGTCCGCCAGCCACTGCCAAGGGCTCCAAAACCACCACAGTCTTTGAAGCGTCGAACCCCTCAGAAGTCTCCACATGCTTCGAAGCGTCGAACCCCTCAAAAACTTCCAAGGTCTTTAAACTGAAGTTCTTCGCCATCTCATAGTTTCCAACCACTTCACGTCGGCGAGGCTGTCTGAGACCACAACTTGAGCAATCCACCATACCACCTTCTGCGTCCTCACATCGAGATGCCATAGGAGCCCAAAGGCTCCGCTATTAAAAAAACAATGGCTATTGAAAAAATCAATAGCCTATTGATTCCTTTGAAAAACCAATCGACAGATCAATAGATTGGTATTTTCTGATTTCAATCGAAAAATCAATAGAAAAGTTGTATTTTTAAAGAAAAAAGTTCTCTTCAAAATCAATCGAAGAATCAATCTTGACAAGTTGTTTTTTAACCTGAAATCTAGCCATCCTATTTAGTGGCAGGATGTATGTACTTGTGGCTGTCCAGCCACCACTTAAATGCAATCTGGCTGTTCAAAGGCCTTGGCTAAACAGCCACCACACTCCAGCAAAAGTCTTGTGGCTATCCAGCCACCACATGAAAGCTTTGTGGCTATTCAGCCACCACAGTCAACTGCAGTCTTTTGGCAATCCAGCTTCCACACTCAACAAAAGTCTTTTACATGGCTATCCAGCCACCACATGAAAGCTGCACATTGTGGCAGGGCCTGCCATTTTTCACACTTCTTCATTTTCTTCTAGGTCTGGATTAAAAATCCCTTCCAGCATCAGGTGAAAAGCGTATTCAAATTTGGCTAGAACCTTGGAAGGGAGCATCCATGCAGGTGTGCTTTTCACACTGCTCCCAGCAACTGCCACCATCAGGGACATGAAGCTTTCTCCTCCATATGCCCAGCAGCTCCTTGGTGCCAAGTATTGGCACTGTGCTGGGTAATGGGCCAGGAGGTGGTGCTTCTGCACCAGGATCCACATACATTCTGCACTCTTCATGCTATTCTTTGCCAGCCATGAATAGTGTCCTAGGAACGCTTCAGTCTTCGCTTGAAACTGCTGTCCCACCTTCTTGTCCCAAACATACTCCTTCAAGTCACAAAGGTCATAGGCTTCCTCCATGGCCTTGCAAAAAGCTTCCATGTGTTTTCCTTTTGTGTTTGTAGCCAGGGTTCCAGCCAACAGTGTCGCCGCAGGGGCAAATTTCCTGACTCTCCTCCCTTTCACATGTTTCAGGCAAGGGAACTCATCACCAAAGATGTCTGACACATTGAGTCTGGGTATTCTTTCCCCTGCTGGGGTTTCAAGTTCCTCATATCTCATGGCCACCATCTTGTTGACTTCCACCAAGGCCCTTTTCTTTCCCATAGGAAGGCTCTTGACGATGGTTGCCACTCCAAGGTCTACAAGGTGCAACAGATCCAGTTTCATGCTCCAGAAGGAAGTTCCTGGCACTCCAAATAAGGGATGTGATACTGGTGGTGGTGCTGACACACTCCGCAAAGTAGATTTCCAAGTTGCATCTTTCCTGAAATCTGTAAATGGCCGCCCCCTCTTCTCCTCCTCCAAGTAGTTGTCACAAAGGCAATATGGGCATGGGTTGTTGCTCATGGCAGTGGGCCACCCAAAGTCACTGGAGAACCATTCCAAGTCTCCTGCCACCACAAACAGAACTCCTTTTCCTGCTGCTGCCATCTTCTTGAAGCTGCCAGCAATTGCTTCCCATATAGGCTTCATAGAAGAAGCAGTTCCTGCACTCTTGGGGAGGCAAGTCAGTAGCAGCTGAGATTGTTTGATGGCCACACCAGAGAACCAGCAATGAATCCACCTCACTGTAAGGGGCACTATCTCCATGGATGAGCCATGGAATTGGCCAGCTGCTCCCACCTCAGGTTGCTATCTTACAGTACACATAATGGCTATCTTCTGATGGTTTCTTGACATACTAGCAGAACAACAAAAGAAAAAAGGCAAAACTTATCCTCAAATTCCAGCATTGAGTTTCCTCTCACTTTCTTCCAGAAAGATTTCCAGCATTGCAGTTGGGGATTGTTTTTCCAATCCTGTTTCAACCAGAACTCCTTCAAAGTTTTCTGGCTGCATGTCAATTCTTGCAAGAGGTTCTTGTTCTGCAGTGTGTCCACCCATGCCTCAGGCAATATTACAGGTAAATCTTTCTCTTCCTCCAGCACAAGTCCCTCAGCAACTCTGACCACAGTGGCCACCTGCACTGGCTGTGGCGAAGACATGCCACCAAAGAAAGCCCTGACCAAATCCCTGTGGCAATTTTGCTTGGCAAAACCACTACCTCCAAGTTTGGCCAGAGTGTGGAGGTCCTGTCCGCTTGCACCACTCATCACTGCTGCAGCAGCATACTGCTGCACTTCACAGGCACTGATTCTCCCCCAGCAAAATTTGTTGAGCAGCATGATTGCCAAAGGGAAGGTGAGCTGCATCTCATCGCCAGGGTCAGGCACATGTTTCCTTTTTTCCCTTGCATATTGGCTATGTTTTCCTTCGGCCTCATGCCTGCATGATCACCACCTGCAAGCATGGCCGCCCAGCCACTGAAAACTTCATGGCTTTCCAACCACCACACTCAAAAAGAAACTTGTGGCCATCCAGCCACCACACTCCAAGAAACAAGTCTTTTGGCTATCCAGCCAACAAGAAAATACCTGCTACTCCTATGGCTATCACTACAGCAGGTCCATATCTAATTAAGTTCTGGCTGCTCATCTTTCTTTTCCTGCTTTCCTTCTTCAGCAGAGTCAGTAGCAGGCCTTGCAGGGTTCTCCTCCTCTCCTTGCCCTTCTTCTTCTTCTCCTTCTTCTTCTTCACTCTCCACAACTTCTGGACTAGGTGGTATCAGCACCTGGCTATCTTCATTGGGGTCCAGAACCCAGTGTGCATACCTGGGGTCTGCTGTCTCCTCCCCCTTCACATACAAAATCCTCCTTCTCTTGGCCATGGTGCTGTGATTGCCTTGAACCCAAAAATTCTGGAAGAAAAAGGGGTTACAGGTGCTGAAGCAAGGTTTTATGGCTATCCAGCCATCACACTTGAGATTTAACAAGTTTTCATGGCTAGCCAGCCACCACACTCCAAAACAACAATTCTTGTGGCTATCCAGCCACCAATGTTCAACCTCCTGACATTTTCCAGCTTCCCAAGCTCTAGAGCAATCTGCCTCAGTTTGAGGGCTTACCTGTCCTGCCTCAATTTGATGGCTTCGCTGCTTCAGTCTTCCTCCTCCTCTTCTTTTTTTGCCTTCTTCTTTGGTGGTCCTGCTACCAACTTCTTGCACTTCTTTCTCTTCTCCAAGGCTGCCAAGCTCTCCAACAATGCCTTCTTGCTTTCTTCCTTCTTGCTTCCACTGTTGATGGCCTTCTCTATCTTTTTCTGGCAGGCCTGCACTTCTGTCAGGGCAGGGCTCAGGATTTTCAATTCATCCTTGCAGCCAGCTTTGCCTTTCATATCCAACTTTGCCTCCTGCAAGGCACGTTCATCCTTGCAAAGTTCTGCCTTGAATGCCAGCAGCTTCTTGAGCAAGGTGCTTTTGTTGTCATCCTTGCTGACAGTGCTCATCTCTTCCCACTTGTTCTTCTTCTCCTTGGCCTCTTCCTTTTCCTTCTGTTTCTTCGTGTCCTTGTCCTCATCATCTTTGACAGAGAGCTGCCTATTGAAGAAGTCCTTCAGCTCAGGCTCGATCTCCATGTCATCCAGCTGATTGCCAGCTAAGGCAAAGCTGGCATCCCAACATCTTCCAAGTTGAGGTTCTCCATGCTGAGCCAGTCATCTTTTCCAGCCTTGTGTTTGTCAGTCTTGTAAGCCACAGTCTGGCTTTTCTTGGCCTTCCACTTGACATATTCACTTTCATCAGCAAACTCGAAGAACCTTGTGTCTGTGGGTGACTTGCGAAACTTCATTGTTCCTGCTTTCAGCCTGCTCATGGCTTCAGCCTTTCCATATTTGTCCACCTGCTGCTTCCATGTGTTGAACTTCACCATGGCTCCCTTCTCATCAGTTTTCTCATAGACCAGCATAGCCTCCTTGTAGTTCTTGGCAATGGACCCTCCATCAAGGATGAAGGACCTCAGCAGCTTGTGCTTCCTCTCCTGGCTTCCAGTTCCTTTGGTGGCTTCGTTGTAGGAGCTGTCAGCTCCAGCCATCTGCGTCTTCCTCTCAAACTTCTTCCACAAGCTCTGGACCTCATTTGCAGGGAGTTTGGCAAGGGCCTTGTCAATTTCCTTGACTGAGCAGAGCTTGGCATCCAGCAGCTGCTGGTGTGTCTTCAGGTTTCTGGATGTGACTGTGTGTATAACTTCATCATCAGTGAACATTTCTTCCCCCTCCCCTTCCTCACCATTGTCCTTCTCATTTTCCTTCTGCTTTTCCTTCAAAATACCCTTCTTCCCAGTCTGCGCTGCTGGCTTCTTGAACTTTGCCACCTTTGTCACTTTTGCTGCTGGCTTCTTGGCCACTTTGTTTTCCACCTTGGAGCTAGGCCTCTTCAAACCCATGGCTTCCTCCAGCTAAGTGCGGTTTTTCCCTGGCAGCCAAAAATGCTGCAGAAGATTTTGGCTCATTCCTTTTTTTCAAATCTCACTAAAAATCACCAAAATTCACATGTTATCATGTGATAACATGTGATTTCACATGCTTTCAATGTTATCATGTCTTATCATGTCTTATCATATCTTGTCACGTCTTATCATGTCTTATCATGTCTTGTCATGTCTTGCCATGGGTTTTCACATGTTATCATGTGATAACATGTGATTTTTGCATTTCTACACTTCTTTTGTTTCCAATTTCGCACACCCGGGAAAATTGAATTCCAGAACGCTATAATTTCCCAAACTGCTTTTCCTTGGGCCTACATTTTTGTAACCACAAACCATTTCCAAGGCTTTTCCCCTGGATCTTTGGGCCACATTTTTTACATGCCAAAGCAAGAATAGTTTTCCCAGGTGCCTTCACTTGGATCTGTGTGCTTGACTTTCCAACAGTAGAACAGGTGCACAGGGTGTAGTTCTCCCAGATATGCCTTCCTTGGACCTTTGGGCTTGTAATTTTCAATCCAAAAGAATGAAGTCTTCCAATTTTTGTCCTTGGGCCTTACATGCTTTCACATCCAAGAAGGTGTTTCCAACATGCAAAAGGTATAGTTTTTTCCAGTGTCTTCCTTGGGCCTTAGGACCTGCAATTATTCCAATCCAAAAGACTGTAGTTTTCCCATTTATACCTCTAGGTGTTTCTTCAATGACTGATGGTGTTTCTTCAATGCCTTCCCTGCAGCCTGATGTGTTCATATTTATTATATAATTGCCTCATTTTCCACTAAACAAGGGTACACACCTCATGGCTATCCAGCCACCACTCAAACACACCTCATTGAAACTAAATCTCATGGCTCTTCGGCCACCACACCCACCCCTTGAATGTGTCTGTTCAGCCACCACACTCAACCCTTGAATGTGGCTGTTCAGCCACAACACACAACCATTTAATGTGGCTTTTCAGCCACCACACTCAACCCTTGAATGTGGCTGTTCAGCCACCACTAATGCATGTTTTCTCTCTTTCTTTTTGTCATTCATTCAGCTGTTTGGTTCTCTAAGCTGGTCTGTTCAAAAAAACTGGCTCTTCAGCCAGCTGCTGCACCATGCCTCTCAGCTAGTCCTTGTACAGGCCTGGCTTCTGAGCCTTCTTTCCACCCTTCCTGTTTGCTGTACACCCTGGAGCCTGGCATCCTCTGCACCCAGGGTTCATCCTCAGCTCATTGCCCTTGTTGATGTAGCTCCATCTCTGGCAGGCTGAGCACTGCCTGAACATGTGCCACTGCTCCTCCCAGAAGCTTTTCTTCAGCATCCCATCTCTGTACCCTGCCACCTCTGGGTGCTTGTCCTCCTTCTCAGGTCCTCTGACTCCTCCCAGTCCATGGGCTTCGCAGGCTCCTTGCAGGGGGCGACCCATCCGTCATCTTCATCCTCTTCTGTTCAGCCCCATCTCTTCTTCCATCTCCTCCTGCTTCCTGTGCTCCTCCACCATCTGCCTGATGAAGGCATCCCAGGTCCATGCTTCAGTTCCCACCTTCCCCAAAGACCACTCATGCTAGGCCCTCCTCAGTGTTGCCCTGCAGGTTTCCTGCAGCAGGTGCAAAAACCAGATTTCAAAACAAAAACATATGGCTATCCAGCCACCACTTTAAACATGAACAAATCAGAATTCAACTAGACCATGGCTTTTATCCAGCCACCACCACAGACAGGAACCAGTCATGGCTATCCAGCCACCACCAAAGCAGGACCAAATCATGGCTATCCAGCCACCACTCAATACATAGAGATATGGCCATGGCTGTTCAGCCACCACCAAGAAACATAGACAACCCAGAACCCACCCATGCCAGTCCTCCTTGTTGTAGCTCAGCCCTGTCCTTTCACAGGCCAGCAGCGCAAAGCACTCCTGGAAGGTGACAAAAGGCACCTCTGGAGAAACCTCATAGTGCAGGGTCTTCATCCTCTTCCTGAAGGCATTGCTCTAGAGGGCAAGCTACCAGGCCCCTCACGGGCACTTCCTACGGCGTTTGGATTTAGCCAGTTGGAAATTGACCCTGCCAGCCAGCGTGCCTCGATTTGTGTTTCTGATAGGCGTGATTTCTACCATCAGTTCCAGGTGACCCCTCAACGTGCCTTGACAAATGCTCTCTGGCCCTGCTTGCGTGCTGATGACATCAAAGACCTTCAGGCCTATAAGGCATTCCTTGCCAAACCTGAAGTTGAGAGGTATGACCGCAGCAAGCATGGTGATGCTTTTGGTGGAGATGTTCAGAAGAAGTTGCCTAGCGTCAAAGATGGTTTGGTCCAAGCTTGTTTCTCCAGCATTCCCCAGGGAGATCATTTAGGTGTTGAGTTTGCAACATGTGCTCATCGTGGTCTGCTGGGGAGCTACGGCTTGCTTCCTGATGATGAAGAGCTGCGAGCAGATGCGGCCTGGAAAGGTCACCGAGTCATGCAGGGCCTGGTGATAGATGATTTCTACGTTGTGTCCGTTGAGGATGAAAAGCTGGATGAGAGGCCTGCGTACCCTAGAGAGGGTCATTTGTCTGAGGCTGTGCAGAGACTGTCTCGGGCTTCAAAGGCCTATGCCAACGAAGGCATTCAAGGCTCTGCGGACAAGGACATCATCAATGAGTCGAAAGCAAAGGTCACAGGTGGTGAGCTTGATACGTCAGAAGGTGTACGTAGGCTTGGTCTTGCTTTGCTCGGCAGCCCAGTCCGGAAGAGACTTGCTTTGTCAATGATAACATTGGAGCTGGTTCAGCTTGGTGCCACAACAGATGTTCTGCATGCATGTCTCCTTGGAGGATGGACCCACTGCTTGATGTATAGGCGCCCTTTCATGTCAGTTCTTGCGAAGAGCTACCACCTCTGCCCTTCGGATCAGATAGATCAAGATGAGCCGAAGCTCTACAATCTGCCCAGGAGCGTTGCAGAAGAGTTGCTGATGCTCGCCATTTTTGCCCCTCTCATGACGGTTGCTTTGGCTGCAAAGATAGATGAGTTCCTCTATGCTTCAGATGCCTCTGAGGCGAAGGGGGCCTATGTAGCAAAGAAGGTTGGCACCTCTGTCTTAAGAGCACTATGGAGGACGGGCCGAAAGAAAGGTGGTTATGTGAGGATGCTGAACCGTGAAGAAGCCCTCATCAGAAAGATCGATGAGATGAAAGAAGAGCACCTTTTCCCGCTTGGAATTTCCTCGAGGCATCACAATGTCTCTCGGGAGAAACCCAGGGCTCACAGGTTCCACTTCATTGAGATCTGCGGGGGTTCAGGGAAGGTCTCAGCAGCTCTCAGTCAAAAAGGATGGGTAGTCGGGCCTGTTTTGGATTTGGACTCCTCGCCCTTCTACAACCTCCGAAGCCTTCGTTTGCTTTCTTGGATTTTGCATCTCCTTGTTGAAAATGGCCTCTTGGACTCTTTTATGGTTGAGCCTCCTTGCGCCACCTTCAGCCCTGCTCAGTACCCGCCTTCCAGAAGTTACAAGCAGCCAAGAGGTTTTGACCCTCTCTGCCCAAAGACTTTTGAAGGAACACAATTGGCTTTGAGGGCTTTGACACTCATCTATGCTGCTGCAACCTTGCAAGTTCCTGGTCTTTTAGAACAGCCGCGAAGATCCAAGATGCGAAGACTCGAGGAATGGCTTTTCTTAGTTGAACTTGGAAGAACTTGGGAAACATGGTTGGCGTCTTGTCAGTATGGGTCACCACACCTTAAGGAGTTCGTCTTCCTGTCCACTTTTGAAGAGGTCCTTGCCCTTCACCGGAAATGCAGCAAGGGCCACGAGCATGTAAAGATTGAGGGAAAGTGGGCAAAGCCTTCAGGTGTGTACACTGACCAACTTGCGGAAGCGATTGCCTGCGCCTTTGACAAGGCTTTGAGTCGCAAGCTTAGGCTGGAATATATGCAGACGCCGAAAACAGAATGTGCTTGTGAATGACTTGCTTGTTAGTGGTGGTTGGTTTGTCAAGAAATCTTGGTCTTGGAAGAAACCTGCACATATCAATACCCTTGAGGTTGGGTCTGCATGTCGTCTCCTCAAGGAGCTTGCGTTGGAAAGCCCTAGGTCCAGGTTTGCCATGATCCTGGATTCAAATGTTGGTCGTTCTGCGTTGGTGTAAAGGTAGGTCACCCTCGTTTGGCCACCGACCTTCCCTGCGTCGTTGCGGTGCAATAATGGTTGCGGGTTCGCTCTATCCTGTGATGCATTTCGGGCCCACTCGGTTGAACGTGGCAGACTGCCCCACCAGAGACACAGCCTTGCCTGAGCCCTGTGCGTCTTGCGTGCCAGAAGGTTGTAGCTTTGAGACTCTCATGGGTTTCGCATCAATGGGGGGCCTAAATCGTCTGGCAGCAAACTGGGTGCGACTTGTGTTGTTACTTGGTATTGGGACCCTTGGTTGGAAGTCAGGTCGTGAGAGCTGGAGGTTCTCACATGTGAGGTTCAAGCACTTTCCTTGGGCGTACTGCATTGACGTTGGACGACTTCGAGCTTTCGATAAGACGCTTGGCTTTCCGGGTGAAGGACCTGGAGGTGGATTCGGGTCTGAGGAGGAGGGGAGAAGGAGGGGGCGCCAAACACTTGGTGCGGTGGCTCAAGCTCAGGGGCCCTTGCTTGCATGCTTGGAATTCCCTCGCTCCAGAGCCCCTTCAAGGCCCTCATCGATTTTGCCGAGGGTCCTTGCTCCATTCTTGCGTTCTGTGCTTTGTCTCTGTCGGTTGGTCTCATTGTTCTGTGGATTTTCCTCGGCCTGTGCGGCCCCCTTAAGGATTTCATGGACTTTGCCGAGAGGATTTCATGGACTTTGCCGAGACTCCTTTCTCTATCCGGTCTGGATTTTGGACTTACCGTTGGCTTGGGTTCGTCATTGTTTTTGCTGTCATGCTTCGTCATTGGACTTTCCGTGTCTCTGGTCACTCAGAGAAGCCATCAGGTTTGCCTTCCCAGCACCATGAGT